GATTAGTACTGACGTGTAAAATCTATGATTTGTCTTTCAGTGGAACAAGTACACATATCTGCTGGCTGTTTGATGTGGGACTGGAATCCGGGTACTTACGGTTAGTATGTTCAGCTTTAATAGATACTACCAAACCCTTCCCCCCAAAACTTGTACCATTGTTCACACACACCAGCAGTGATTCCTAGGATTTCTGGCTTATCTGCGTGCTTTCTAAAACTTGGTAGCTTATCTGGTTTTGGTGTCAGGCTTCTGGTTAGCAAGTGATGTTACCAAGTTGTGGTTTTATTTGCTTTTTTGTTGTGTTGTTACTCTCTACTAGTTTGAAGTTGCGTATTAACCTATGGATAATCTCTTTGTCAAAGTGTCTTACTTACTGTGCCCCTTTTTTTCTGTTGTGGTATCTTTTTCTTTAGTCTTTGTAGTTCTGCATATATTATGAGAATGAGTCCTTTGTCTCCTCTATCACTCTACTTCTATTTCTATCTCTTAAGATTGTGATGCAAAGAAATTCTTAATATTTTTGGAATCTAATTCATCATTTCATCCTTCATGGTTAGTTTTATTTTTTACTGGTTTTAGAAAATTTTTTTTAAAGATTTTTTTTCATTTATTTGACAGACAGATCACAAGTAGGCAGAGAGGCAGGCAGAGAGAGACAAGAGGAGGAGGCAGGCTCCCTGCTGAGCAGAGAGCCCGATGCGGGACTCGATCCCAGGACCCTGAGATCATGACCTGAGCCGAAGGCAGAGGCTTTAACCACTGAGCCACCCAGGCACCCTTAGAATTTTTTTCTTATACCAAGATCAGAGAGAATGATTTGTGTTTCTCTTAAACACCTCATTATTTTTACAATTTCAGTCGGAAGTGTATTAAAAATCAATGTGTTATGTGCTTTCTGTGGTTACTGAGGTTTTCTATTCTTATTTCCCCTGACAACATCACTAACAAATTGAAATGTATTCTGAAAATGTTGTACTGTAATTTCTTTGCATTTGCTTACACAAGTCGTTTCTTGTGACGGATTCCCATTGCCATGATCTTAGACCTAACTACTCCTTTGATTTCTCTCCATTCTTCATGTATCTCTAGAGAGGCACAAAGCCTGCTTTGGGGCTCAGTCCCAAAACACTGAGATCATGACCTGAGCCAAAATAGATGCTTTCCCAACTGAGCCACTGATGCAGCGCCAAACATGATATTCATTCATTCATTCATTCATTCATCCATCCATCATTTACTCATTCATTCATTTATGGAATTTAGAACTGTGGAATTGAAAATGTGGGCATCAGTTGCACACCTGTGAGAAATATAGAAACTTAGACCCAAGCCAGAAATCGAAATCAGAATATGAATTTTAACAAGGCCTCAGTTGATTGTCATACACAGTAACATTAGAGAAATGTATGTCTAGATCATCTACACTCTTACCTTATTCTTTGCTTATCTTTATGTCTGTAGTATATTATTTTGTTAACTGTGACTTTGCAGTATGCCTTAAGTCATGACGTGTGCTGTTCATTTTCCAGATTATTCTGGGTATGTGTTA